TTTGTTAAAGCACCACTCTTAAGGAACAAAGAAAACACTTGCTTTCTCAAACATTCTTGTTTAAAGTGAACACATTACCCAGAGTCACTGTGTACCTAGAGAAGTTTCTCTAACCCCCGATTATAACCATATCTGCGATGGAAGCAGTCCTTGAAGCATTCTTGTTCTCTGAAATATTTACTTGAGTGTGGTGATTCCTTTGAAATTCACAGATGTTAGATTTTTTTTTTCCTCTTGATGCCTGAACAAGCAAGTTTGTTACTCTTTTCCTTCCATTTTGCTATGTATGTCTTATTCCATCCTTTATCATGACACCAGTTACCTTGCTTTGTGACTGCTCTTCAGGTAATTTATACCTTCTGCTGCTCCTTAAATGCCTGCCGTGACAGTTTCAATACAGTATTAATGAATGAATAAATAACCCAATAATCTGACTATACAGAGAGTTACTGAGGAGACCAGGCCTCTTGGATTACTACGTGGCAATGAGGTCCATGCAACTGACAAATGCCTCTCTTTCCATGCTAAGTAGACATCTATGTTGGGTAGCCTCCATAAACGGCAAAGCATTACAAATCTCTTTGTAGACTTCAATCATTGGTGCATAGTGCATTTAAATCAGTTCTCAATTTTGTTTTACATTACAAAATGAATTTAAAGGGTAGGGAAAACATTTGTAGCAGATTTGACTATATATAGGCTCACAAGAAACAGGTCTGTTTTCATGGGAAAGAGAGACATAGAAGAAGGAAAAGTTTCCTTTCATAAAAATAAAAACCTCTGCCACCTTTGTGCCTTGAAGGCAGCTTAGTGGAGCAGCTCAGACGGAGGGCTGGGCATTACAGGGACTTAGGTTCAGATCTTCCACTAATGGTTCCCATGAGCGGCCGTGGGAAAATTGCTTAATCTGTCTTCTTCATCTGGAAAATTGGATTATGTTAGTGTTATTTTGGAAGGATTAAATAAAATATGCTTAGAAACTTGATATAACCCTACAGTAATAAAAGTTGAAAAGTTTGTTGGATGTTAATTTTATGCTGTTTTCAATTACTTCCTGGCTGGTTCTTTGTAAAGCCATGGCACCATTCACTCGCAAGTTTTTCTATAAAAAGAAATTGATCTAGTGTGCAAGGATGACTCCTGCCCCCCCCCCAAGAAGACTCCCTTTCTGGGTGTATTGGTTTGGATTCAATTTTAGACCAGTTAAAGGTTGTCATTGGAGAGTGTAGTTTACCTGCACTTGAAGCAAATCACAAAGAATGTGTAGAAAGGAAGGGAGAAAGGGAAGGAAAAAGGAAGGGAGGAAGAGAGGGAGGGAGGGAGAGAGAGAGAGGAAGGGAGGGAGAGAATGTAGGAAGAAGGAAAAGAGAGGGGGAGGGAGGGAAGGAGGGAGGGAAAGAAGAGAGGGAAATAAAAGAAAAAGAAAGAGTGGACACCAGTAACTAAGAAGCATAAAGTATATGAGACCAATGAAGGACTGAGAAGAGAGACGTCTTAATATCGAAACAATGTAGGCCACAGAAGAAATAGTTGAACTTAAAAACCACATAACTTTTTGATCTCGTCTTGTGTCTTTTCAATGGAGATAGAAAGCACAGATTATTTTCTTTTCTGTACAGAAATATCAACTAAAAAATTTATAAAACCCTTCTACTCCTGCTTATGAGGATGGGGAGAAGTACTATGAAAAACTTCTCACTATGTATTCACCCTGTACCAGTTTGCTTTCTATGTTTCTATTGAATACTGTTATTTTACTACGTTAACCATGTGGGTATGTTCATGCTATTCAGACCTGCTGTTATTTTTTGACATGTAGAGGAAAATGTAGCCTCAATACATCAGAAGACAAGTACAGAGAATACTGGGCAAATGTTAGCATTCAGTACATTTCTGAGAATTAGAGAGCCAACAATAATCACAGCTATATGAATTAAAGTTCCCCAGCCACTCTGACCCTCGAGCTCCTCTTCCAAAGTAGAGGTGGCACTTTTATGTGTTTCCTGAGAGAATTAATTAAAATAATAACTGTGTAGCATCTTGTGTCAAAACTACCTGAGTAGAAGCTATTATGATAGAATATAAAGATATTTAGATTCATCATTCAAATTCCACCGCAGACATACCTTTGTAAGAAATGATCTGTTTGAGGCTGCCCATGTTTTTTTTTTTTGAAGGCAAAGACTATATTTCTGTTTTGTTCCTTTCTCCTCTAATATGACTTGATAAAGGCTTTGCATGGCATGTCTGAACAATTACTTTTGATTAGGTGTCTTCTGCTCCCCATTTGACAGGTTATAAGGAAACATCTTCCTTATGAAATAGAGGTCAGAGCTATGCTTTACTAAGCTGTCAACGTCGACATGACATTCAATTTAGAATAAATAAAGAGGTCTG